TAAAACTGAAGATAGTGAAGATCTCTTACCTCAATTCGGCTACGTGAAAGTGCTTCGCTTATCACGTTACGATATTGAGCTACTATGCGGTCGTGGCTACCAAGTGCGGGAGGTGCGCTGAGACTTTCTAACCGAGTTGGGCGCCTATTAGGACGCATGCGAGTTGAATATGATCACTGTTCTTTTTCAGTTACTTAGGTACGACGGGTGACAGGCGTTTAAGCGTTCCGACACGTTAATACCGGTGCTCAGGGGGGCTATGTTGCGCTTTTTGCACTCCCAGGAGACTAGGGAGAGGGAAGTGACGTCAACAACGCAGCAAATGCAGATTGGATGTTGATTTTATTTTCTTCTGTCAACATCCAATCTGCATTTGCTCTAGTCGTTGACGTCACTTCCCTTTTCCAAGTCTCCTGGGAGTGCAAAAAGCGCAACATAGCACCCCGGGTTCCCGGTACCTACCGTGTTTTCAACCTGATGGACGCGTGAGACGTAGCAATACTTTTAACGCTGTGTCTAAAGCTACGTGTCGGACGTACCCGGAACGAGGAGTCTAAAGGTACGTTGGACGTATCCGGAACGAGGACTCTAAAAGTATGTCGGGCGTATCCGGAACAAGGAGCCTAAAGGTGCATCGGACGTATCCAGACCCTGAAGCCTTAAAGCTCGTTCCCAGTCTTGCAACCGAGTACGACCGAGAGAGACGAGATCTCTTAAAATTTCTTAGGAAAAGAGAACACACTGGCGCCATCTATGCGGTGTCCCTGGAACTGCATTTTACAATAGCGAAGGTTTTCCGGGATTTCCGAGGTCAAATGTGTGTAATACCTAAGAGAAAGGCTTGTTTATAGCGTTGACAAAAGTTTTTCCAGCCAAGAAAGAAAGGATAATGTGCGAGCGAAATAGAAAGTATGCCGGACCGCCAAGCTTACACTGTTACCCAATAGATGGCACCAGTTTGGTTTCTCGTCGTAAGAGGTTTCAAGGAACTTGGTTCTAAGAGGTCGCAAGAGTGTGAACGGGCCTTTAAGATGCATGACGGACATGCGCTGAACCGGGAGATGCGTCGGATGTAGACGCGGTAGGGAAAGGTTGTATCACAGCGGGTCATAGCATGCCTCACTGAGACCCCACTGTCAATTTTCATTCCAGCTTTATTTCTCATTGCTACTGTAATTAGTTCATTCTATGCACTCCTTTCGTTTCACACCCGCAATGTGCAACGAGGGGGGGGGGTGCTTACTTTCATGAAATGCTCCGTAATTACAACATTTGTGCAAGAAATATCAATTGATTATAGGAAATTCATAAGAAAAAAGTCACAGAACAAATAAAAATAACCCCGACGAGAATTAACCTGCTCGCCGTCAATTCTCACCGCGCACCACGGTCAACAAGTTGCTCTCAGTACGACTCGACGAGTCCTCGGTGGCCCCGTCCAGTTAGCTGCAAACAAACTCACGAATTTTCTTCTCAATTTCCAAATGTCGACTTTTGCATTATTGTGCCGTCCCGAACACTTTTTACGGATCGCGACGCCCTTGAATACCTACACCCGCTGTCTTTTCCACCGCATCACACGGTATCGCAGATGCTCTGCAGTGCCGTGGTTACCGTTGTCTTTCGCATACCTGATCACCGTCCGCTCTAACTTTACTGTGTACAAAGTCCTCTTCGCACTCATGGTGGACAGCAAAGTTATGAACGCCTGAACATATGGGCTAAACCGCGTAAACAAAAACAAACGAGGTGCGCTTGCAAGTCAGACGATGGAGTCGAACGAACGGCGACGAAACAAAAACAGAGCACACAACGTCTTACCTGTGCCTATATTCTAAGGCGCCTGCGCGGTAGCGCAAGTGCCGTTGTGTGCCGCCATCTACCAACTGATGACGAAACCGAGTGCTGGGGACCAGAAGGTGGTGTGCTGCCGGCACGTAAAGGTGGGCACAAAACTAAAAGCGTGGATAAGACGAGCAAAGAAAAGGGGAAAGGAAACAAGCGACGTTTCAGACGCTCGGCCTTGATGGAGAGCAGACATCGCATGTCTCCGATCTCTAATTCCTTGTACAGAATTGGGGCGCTTACAATATGTCCGACGTATCTTTAGACTCGAACTTGCGGCTTCGTCCGACGTACCTTTAAACTCCCCATTCCAGATACGTCCGACGTACCTTTAGACACAGCATACTTTTAATCCATTTCCAAGGCGACCAGGAAGCTCCAGTGCAACAGCTCCACGTTGGACGACACCTCAGTGTGCTGCAAGTTGGTGAAAACGACCGTTTTTTTTTTTTTTCGTTTGAAAGGCCTCCAGCGTCTGCGGGGAAACTGTCACAACATGTCGTTTGGGTTCAAACAAACCGTTGCTAGGGGCGTTGCTATAGACTAATGCATGCAGACTCCACATGAGGCTAAACTTTTGCTTACAAGTAAATAATTTTTTGTGAGCAATCTAACTTCTTGATATCTAATTATGAAGATGTTCTTGTCGTTTCTGTGTCGTATTGCGACGGGGAAAGCCATTCCGCTTTGCTTTGGTAGCAGACGACACAATAGATTTGCTGGCCTACCTCTGTTGCAGCGGGCATCTTCATTGAGTTGCTTCTGTAAACCAGTGACGAAAACAAGTGCATCATCATGACCGTAAAAGCTTCGGCAATGTGCCTTTTTTTTTTTTTTTTTTTTTTTCATTGTGAAGAATATAGCTTTGTTCGGCGGCGCGAAAATGCCGTAAAATCAACCCACGTCAATCAAATCAGTTACGACGACGACCCGAGGTGCGTTACCGGCGTAGTGCAGGCCAGCAATCTTACACCTTCGAGGGAAGTCGTTTATTATTATTATTATTATTATTGTACTAAATTAAAAAAAGTTAGTCCAAACAGGAGAACACATGAAGAGCACAATGAAAAAAAAAAAAGAAAAAGTCATTAAAGGTAGATATATAAGCATAAACAAAATAACCGGATAGCGCATGGACACAGGCATACATCTGAACGCCGTTTTACCATAACATTGTTAAGGCCCGTTCACAGTCTTGCAACTTCTTAAAACGGTTTCTTGAATCCTCTTACGAGAAGACACACTGGCGCCATCTATTGCGTAGCAGTGTAAACTTGGCGGTCCGGCATATTTTCTATTTGTCGCGCATTATCCTATCTTTCTTGGCTCGAAAAACGTTATCAACGTTATAAACAAGCCTTTCTTAAAGGTATTACGCACATTTGACCTCGGAAATACCGCAAAACCTTCGCTTTTTGTTAAATGCAGTTCCAAAGTCGCCGCACAGATGGCGCCAGTGTGTTCTCTCGTCCCAAGAAATTTTAAGAGGTTTTAACAAGTCTCGTCTTTCTCAGTTGTACTCAATTGCAAGAGTGAACAGGCCTTAAGCACCGTTCAGTCTTGCAACCGAGGAAGACCGAGAGACCAGGCCGGTTTCTAAGCCTCTTGTGATCTCTTAGGACGGGATGCGTTGCAGCGGAGCTGGTCCCAAGAGATCGCAAGAGGCCTAAAAACCGGTCTGGTCTCTCTCGGTCGCAAGAGTGTGAACGGGCCTTTAAGACTACTGAAAGTTTGATCTGGATTTTACTCTCACTACTACTTGCATGCAACTACTTTATCAATATTATAGTAATAAGATATAAATATACCGCCATATTTTCAAACAATATGACCGAACAGAATATGGGTTTTACATGCTCTTGGTTGGTTTGGCCCTTTTTTTTACATCGAGGCAACTTTCCACCAGTGCTACATGTACTCACCTTATGGTTTTTATCCAGTTCTCTCACGCTTTGGGGTATTGCGGGAATCTGAAGAAACTGCAAGAACCTTTCTTCATGGGATGGTTACAACCAGCTATGAAGCACTTTTACATAGCGCGAGTCCGCAAAAAAAAAAAAAATATTTGGGATCTCAATCGGTTGCCTGAAGTGCTTTTCTCGCAGGTGCAATGCAATCTTTTAGCAGACGATCATCTCGATCGACGACCGGACTTTCAATAAACCATATTTTGCATCGCACCCCACTATGAATTCTTATAAGTGTCTGAAAGTCATTATATTTCAAACAAATACAATATCAGAATATAGTCTTTATTCACACGATTCAAACGATGGTGCCAGCTTGTGGCAGACGGCATACTTCTTGTATTCGTAGTCCGCTGCAGGCATCTTGAGGACCGGAAGTTGCAGTTGTAATTATTCCAGAAACAAGCGATTATTTGCACACTTCTGTTTAAACATACAAGCTTTCTATATCTGTGATTTTAGAAGTTTAAATCCTACTCCTGATTTTTGAACAGTCGGGTTTTCATAGCGAAACCTAGCCACATGTATTTGTCAACATCGACCCTAGCAACGGTTTGTTTGGACTCATGACGTCACACTTACGGAGTCAATTGCTGGCGTCCGTAACCAATTGGCCCATTATTTATTACTTGTTCTACAAACCCAATTTTTTAATTGTATTTTACTCGCTCAATATTTATCGTAAACATACCCAAATCGAGTGAAAATAAAGATGTGGTTTTTCCACTGGTCAAAATATGACTCATTAATTATTAAGATTGGTGATATGCGTTTGCAATGAACAATTTTATGAACCTTTTACAAATAAAGGGTGGTCCAAGCCGCCAGGCTCGACCTAAAATGGACCGTAAAAATTAACGCCTGCACGTAGCAATCTAAAGTTTTCGTCAAAGGTGTATTTCACAGGTCGGTTTTTTCTTGGAAAATTACAAAGCGTGTTCTCTCGTCCCAAGAAATTTTAAGAGGTTTTAACAAGTCTCGTCTTAGGACCAGCTCCACTGCAGCGCATCCGGTCCTAAGAGGTCCGAAAAGGCTTACAAACCAGTCTCGTCTCTTTCGGTCGTACTCGGTTGCAAGAGTGTGAACGGACCTTAACATGATTCTTTTGCCTGGACATAAAAAAAAAAATATGAAGAAAAAAATAAAGAAAGAAAAGGTGGTACTGAAAAGACAAGATATTAGTTCACATTTGAAGACGTGCCTCGATGAGGCAAGCAAGTTGTTTTATTCCTGTGCCCCATTTTGAGTTTAAAGTAAAATCTGTCACTGTGTTGATGCGTTACCATGCTGCCTCTCAAGATAGCAGAAACACTGCCACAGTTTGACTCAGTGAAACAGTTGTCCATCAAAGGTCACAGCACCCCATCACATAGCCATCCGCAACATCTCCCAAACTGTGACCATCACCGGCACAACTTTCATCAGTCTTCTGGCCCCCCCTTGCCATGTCTCTATGAACATAGCTCAAGACAAAGCATAGGTATTTTTTGTGGGACCCCATTACACACCTGACATATCTTTTGCCGCAGAAGCGAAATGTCCCACACTTAAATGTCAACAGTAACATTGGTTCACCAAAATATAGACAGAATATAAATATTGCATGTTCGTCTCCTGGACTTGTCCCTAGAAGTCCTCTGCGCCACACACTGACGACTAATCCCAGTGACTTAGCAGGCTTGCCTCTATTGCATAGCTAGTTCGGCAGATGAACCTGTCATGAATGTTGATCACCATGGCATGACAAAACCTTCCAATAAACTTCTTGCCCCACCAGCCTTACACTGTTCACTCGCCATGGAGATCTCCGAAATGAGGCACTAGTTCCATGCCACTAAATTGCACAGCCTCGCGGTGAGCAAATCGCCCCGTAGCCTTGCTGACATCTCCAAGGCCACCGGTCTCGAGGTCCAGGTACCTGCACATAATCAATAATTGCTGTAGCAAAAGGTCACAGAATCCACCAGCGGATGCTACATTTTCTTGCAATGGTCAGTGAACTGAATTACACAGGACCTTGACCTTTCCATTCCAATGGCTCCACCTCTATTCAATCACATATACTTCACTGGGTCCAGTACAAATAGCTTTATTGTTTAACACAAGATCAAGGTAAGGTTTGTTGCAAGGGCAGCCAAATGAAAACCTAATAAAAATGTTTCTCTCGATTTCGACTCCAAAAACATTTTGTCCAGATGAGCAATTTTCATCACTTGTTACCTGCTGCTCACCTGTCATACTTTGGCATTTTCAACAGATTGAAGGTGCTTCCCTCCTTGAGGGTTAGTATTAACCTATGATGAGTGTTCAGGGAAAAAAAGGCTCAGGTGGCAGGCACCAAAACGGCAGCACCCCAGGGTGGCTTAAAAGGTTATTTCAAAACAATGTACTATAGGTAAAGTTCTAGGTTTTTGGTATGACGGCAAACACTGAAAAGTAACCCTTAAAAAGTGTTTCTCAAAATCGGTGGAAAAAAGCAAATAAGAAATTCAAGTTTTTTTTAACAAGAAAAACACCAGTTTTACAACAAACAACCTGTCTTGACATCTTCATTTCGTGTTCTCTTGAATACAGACTACACTGATCTGTTTGCAAGGCTGCTTCCTCCTTTGAAAAATGTTTCTACGTGTGCCATTTAGCACTCCATGGGTCTTATAGATATGCTGTCACTCCTATGACACAAGCCCTGAGAAACCCTGCATGCATTACGGTCAACAGCAAAAATAGACAATGAATAACATCAAATTTGCAAGAAAAGAATAAACAGCAAGCCCCCCCCCCCCCCCCCCCTCTTTTTTGGGATTTAAAGAACATGGAACTTGGCTTTAAAGAACATCACTTTAAAAGTTGCAGTTACCCAATAAAAAAAGTAAGTGTTACAGTTACAAAGTACCGCTAATAAAGAGTAGCACGTTACAGTTCAAAGCTATTGGAAAAAGTAACAACTGACCGGTAATGCATTACTAGTAATCACACTCCATTTCGCATTAAGATGGAGCGCAGCTGATGCTAGAAGCCATCACGCCCGGCCAGAGTGTCATGGACATTGCGCATTGCTGCGCCAAGCCGGAAGGTCGCCCAACACACTCTCAGCACAGAATTAGTTGTGCTGGCTCGTAGCATCTGCTGCAATCCACCTTAAAAGGCCCCTGAAAAGAAAAAAAAAAAGTTAGTCTTTGAACAGTCTAGTTGGGACACGCGTGTCAAAAGATGAGTTTATGCGAAAAAAATTCGTTTAGACCAATAATGACGGCACAAGACGCCATTTAGTCGGCAGTTACCTCCTTTCCACTTGTTTTCTCTTGGCGTTTCGGGCACATGGAGTAGAAATGGACCGGCTTTGCCTTCACGACCGAGATGGTTATTCCGGAATGACCCGTGACTTCATGGGCTTTGCACACAAAATTTCAAATAAACTCCCGCCGTCAATATTGCTCTAGAAAAAAATTTTTTTTTTTTTTTTTCGCATAAGATTTGATTTTTGACTTGCGTGTCCCAACCAGACTGTTTAAAAAAAACTTTTCTTTTCAGGGACCCTTTAAAGGGACACTGACAGGGTATTTATGCTCGCCGAGGTTTTTAGTTTTATGTGACATATGAGAGCCGAACTACCTAGAACAAAATTTGCAGCTCGAAATTCGGTTTCTTTCCGCCCGAAAACTGCCGATCGAGTCGCGCTCACTCTCTTTTCCAAGGCAGTTTTCTAAGGTTTAGACACGACCATCAAATTTAATCAAAGTCGTGGGTCATTGAAGGCACACAGTGAATCCTAAAAGTATAAAAAAAATGAAACATTTTTTGTAACTCCCAAAAAGCTGCAAATATGTCAATTGAAAAAAAAAAAAAAAAAGGTTGCACAGACAATTGGAAGCATTCTGTGCGTTCACTGCATAATTCTCAACATGGCGTCTTTTCACGTTTCGTGGGACTCGCGGATGACGGGCGTGGGACCTCTACTTCAGAACTGTCGTTCACGGTGTCGGTGCATTCTGTCTTCTCTGTAGCAAAATATTACTTAAATAGTATTCAAACGCCTGGCAAAAAATTTAAAAAAAAAATTTGTGAGGGGGGGGGGGGGGGGGGGGGCAGTGTCCTTTTAAGGTAAACTTGAGTATGGCTACTGCCCATGACTAAGTAAGACAGTTAAAACCAATTCTGTAAAAAATTTTCGGAGCAGCTCAAGAGGAGAACATGTACATTTTGAAGCAGCTTAGGAGCAGAAAAGTCCACATTAAAGTAAAACATGTATCGCAACAAAAACTTATTATATAAAAAAAAAAAATAAAAAAAAAAGGTTTTGGAGGTATTTTGGTGCAGGTTTGGGCTGTTTTGGACAATTTAAGGGTGATTTTGGGATAAGATTGACCGAAGGATGGCTGGTCAACATTTTCAAGTCAATTGATATTTTTATATGTCATTGCCTAGTGTCCGGTGTAAATAAACATGTTTATTTTTCATCAGAAAAAGAATCTGGGCGCACAAGAAATCTTCGATCACATAAAGGTAGACGGTCGCATTCACGCTCACTATTGGAGCAGGCATCTTTGAAATTAAATAACTAAAACAATAACACCAGGAGAAGACTAATACTTTTTAGAATCAGAAACAAAGAAAATTATTTAGACATGGTGGGTGTAACCATTACAAATTATTTTGTTAAAGGGACACTCAAGTGGATTCTGATACCGTCTATTGTCGTAACTCAATCTATAAGCTCTAAGCATCCTAAGAAACCCAAAATTAAATTCAAGGCTGGCCGATTTCCCTATTGAAAGTCCAATCAAAGATTGTGCCACGCCCCTCTTTCTGTGCCATGGCGCAGAACACCAGGGGGTGCCACCATGCGCGGCTTCGAAAAGTCAGTCCGCCGGGAAACCGTCACTCGTGATTTACTGTCATGTGCCTTCCCCTGCTGCCTTCCTGTCTGGTGGCACCCTCTAGTGTACTGCACCACAATGCAGAAAGAGAGGCGCGGAAAAATTTTTGATTGTACTTTTACTAGGGAAATCGGCTGCTCTTGAATGTGGTTTCAGGTTTTTTTAGGATGCTTAGAGCCTATATATTGAGTTACAACAATAAATAGACACGGCTGCTATGGTAACTGCAGTGTATTTTGCGGAATACATGTTTTGAAGCTCAGCGTCTAAATGGAGTTCCACAGCACTCTATGGAGCACACAGTTCGTAAACGAAAATCTAGATGGCACTTCGAATTTGGTTTTCACACTAAAACCTAGAAGGTGAGCAGCGAGTTGCGTGCCTGTGACACGAAGACATCAATACTGTGAACGCTGCTCTTCTGGAGCTTGATGGTCACCGTGCACGGCTCACTTTTTAGAGCACTAATGGCCAGGCAAAGCGCAAACCAGAGTGTCGAACCGATATTTTTATTGGTTCGGTTCGGGTTCGGGTTTACGGCTTTCGGTTCAGTTCCGGTTCAGTTCCGGGGCGCAAAAAATAACGGTTCAAACCGGTTCGAACCGGTTAGAACCGCTAAATTGATAATATATTTTCCGCGTTGTTCTGTCAATAGGCGCTATTTATGCCGTGAAACTAACTGCTGTAAACGATCTGATTTTTGCGAGGACCTATTTTTGAGAATTTCGCGAATCGCCTACAATTCGCGAAAAATGGGTCCTGCGAACAATTTCGGTAAAATGTAAACAGATTGAAATTTATATTGAGATTCCACCGCGTCGAGAAAATTACAACCCGCGAATTATTCCAAAACTTCAGCTTTGACCTAAATCGCGAAATATTGAGCCCACGAAAAAAGTCGTTTACAGTATATAGTTTTTTTTATTATTGTTTGTTCAATTCAATTTTATTCTCAGGTACCAAAATTATAAAATTCTGTTATTTATTCCTACACAACAAGAAAGGAAAATCTACATTAACATACAAAACGTCGTGTTTATACGACTCAACATCCCTTCGTTTACCAGAGTCACATATATTGTACCTGAATCGAAATGTTTTCGGAAGTGAAGTAGGTTGCCTAAAATACCCGTGATTGGTACAACTTTGTATCGCAGTATTAGATGTTGAATCGTGGTTTTGCCCTTGAACTAAGGAATTAATTACAGTGAATACAATCATGAAATGGGCACCTCGTCGCCATATATATCATGACATGTGTTTTACGGAATACGTTTCACAATATATATATGATGACGAGACGACTGAGCTTAAGGGAATATAATTTTCAAAATGTCACGAAAGTCACGGGACAAGTCCTTCTAGTCTATATTTTATAGGAACACTAAGCGACAATCGCAATGCTTGTTTTTCTAACTAGCATATTGTTTGCTCTCAGCACCATGATGCGGGCGACGAATCATGCGAAAAGGAGTGGCTGAAATTGTTCACTCTAACCTATGAGCACCTTAGTACTGAGATCGTATCTGACCTAAAACAGTGCTTACCCATGTGAACATTTTCTTATATTGGATAAACTGGCATAGCCTGGATGTTGAGGTTTGCTCTTGACAAAATGCAGGTCAATTTAATTTGCAAATAAGCATCACCCTCGCTAATTGATGATTTTTGTTAAATAGAACAAAGTGGTATTTCATGCTCTACTCAATTCGGAAGCTACCTAATTGGACACTTTCTGAGAGTTTAAGTGTGCAATCGTCATAGTTCCACCATTCGTTCCAGTAAAAAAAGTCGATAGTAAAAACACATAAAAAACGCGATAATAAACTTCTATATATTTGAGAAGTTATATATGCGTGAGGAACACATATAGTTATTTAAATTAGCTTCAAAATAATAAAAAAAAAAAACATTATTTAAATCTTTTCAAAATCACCTATACGTGTCTGTAGAGGATAAAAGCGCCGAAAAATATTTGCCGAACATCTTTCAGATAATTTAAAGGCGCATTTACTTATATATCTTGGAGGTGAGAATCTTC